AATGGAAATTTCGATAGTCGGCAGGTTCGCTGCGGCGGGGGTATTATTTCGAATTAATAACAACAGCTAATTTGAACCAAGCAGCAACAAAAAACTGTGATACACAATGAGGACTTACTTATTTTTTTTTTAGGTGCAGCGGTAGATCATTATAGCTATGGTAGATGTGCTATAGTATACTGTAAATTAAAAGAACTAAATTTTCTTAAACCGTGTCCCCTTCCATTGCAAACGCAAAGCACTAGTATAACTGCAATATTAATTTTATTCTTATTCGCCAACCCCGTACGAAGGACAGGTACTCTGCTGGTAGGGAATAAATCAGACACTAAGGAAAAAGCTGAGTGAAAATCCAATCAGAAAATTGTAGTGTAGGTTTGCTGCGTCAGGTGTATTGTATAAGCCAATGCGTCGCGCCGGATTGTAAGCGCGTGCTTGTGTGTGTGTGTGTAACAGCTGACGCGGCTGTTGCTAGGCGCCAAGTAGTGCGCGAGGTTGTCGGTTGCTGCACCACTCTGCTCCCCTGATACAAAGACCGCCAATTCCAGACAGCCGACCGCGTGGCATTGACTCCGACGCATGCGCATCTCTAACTCCCCCTCCCCCCACCACTCCTCGCCCATACATACACCGTCCCCCGTCCACGTCCATGGTCCTTGGCAATGGCAATGGCAATGGCAAAGACTAGCAAGGGCATGGCCAAGCTTTCGGCAATGTTTGACGATTCTGTTTTATTGTTATGTTGCGTTTTTAGAGTTCATGAAAGAAAATTTATTTTAATTTTGGGTAAAACCTTTAGGCCTGCCTAATAATTAAACTAGGGTTTAAGGCGCTTAACACTAATTTTTTAGCACTGTGGTTTTGAAACTAAGGTATTCGAAATTTTTCTTATGGCGAAACACGAATTAGTTGATTGTTTTCTATTATTTTTTATTTTTGTGAAAGGAGGGAAATGAAGTTGCGTTACCGGTGTCAATAAATAATATGATTGTGATGTTTTCACGATCCGATACGCAAACTTACTACGATCTTGACTACTAAAACTCGAGTTCACTGATCTTTTCATCGACAGAATTTACTAAATTGCACGATCGGAATTTTTTTTCCGCTCCTGCGTCACAATGTGTCTTGAACACCTCCTTTTTACCGAGTCGATAGACTAAACAACTAAATTGTCATACAATTTGGATAAAATCAAAAGCCAAGCCACAAAGGCATCGAACAGTGAGAATGTCCTTTGTGAAAAACACTGAAAAAATCGCCTGGCATGGCAAGCACTACATTAAAAATACGTTCTCAATTTATTAAAAATATTTTTACATGGACAAAAATAATAGTCTAGATGATTCAATTTCATCCCTGTTGTTTAAATAAAGATAACACATGATTAATTTTTCGGTCCAAAATTTAAATATTTTGGAGGCTACAAAATTAATATTTGTGTCCCTAGTAGTAGCTCCTACTAGGGACCAAAATAAGAATATAACTAGAAAAATAAATTAAATGGTCACGATTTTGAGAAAGCTTTAAACATTGGTATGCTGTATAGAATAGCTGAGCCCGCTGTACCGCTGTACCACCACATCACAGCATCCCAGTGGCGAGGCAGTAGCCAGGAACCTACCGCCCTCTGCTCTCCTGATATCCGGCGTGCAGTGTTGATGGAATTGTGACGTTTTGTAATGTTTTGACAGTCCCCACTCCCCCCACCCTGTCATCTCACATGGTCAACTAACTGACCAACGATCTTACTAGTCACACTGGTCATACCCATAATATATACATACCTGCAATAATTAAATTACACCAAACCCTTTAAGCTTATGAGAAAATCTATAAAAATTGTAAAAATATCATATTTAATTATTTTTAAACAATAACCAAACAGAATTATAAGTTTATTGATTGTTAAACTACAGTTACAATGCATTTCACGATTTAATTCAGTAAAAATAATTTAATTTTCGAAAACTATTAATTTGATACTTAACTTAAAGATTTATTTTAAATTGATTGTGTGTAAGGAATGGCAGCGACAAACGGGTATGATCCGTGTACATTGAGTATTGCGGGGGGAGGGGATGTGTCACTCATATATGACGTGTGCATTATAATTCATAACGGACAATGTTTGGAGAGCCAGGCAGCATAAGGGCGTAGGAACCCCGGGTCGGCGAGTTTTGGCGGGTAACCCACATTGTTGGTCCCTGCCAGGGGCGTTCAAAACCGCAGTGCAGCCTCCATTGTTGTAAAAAAAAACGTGTACGTGTGTAATCATTAGACAGGTACAGTTTTACGTTTGAAAATTTATTCTGTTGAATTTGTGAACAATGCAGGAATGTCTATTGAGCAGTACTATCATGATATGTATGCATATATTTAGAGTTAAATATTTTTCGCAAGTTTCGAACAATTTGTAAAAAATTAGGTCGTTTAAATTAGGCGAATAAAACATTGAAAGAAGAAAGAAGGGATAGTTTATGGGTTAAAATATTAACCAAATTGAGCTGTTAAAGTAATAACAATTCTTTCTGTACAAAGAAAAATCTGATCTCCTTCGTCACTGAAAATGTTAAAAAATCTTATTTATACTAATCTTCCATTCATTATTGGATTACAATACTTTAATTTCGTGCCCGGCTATTTAAATGATATGGCCCCTCTCCTGTTCCGATTTATATATTTTTAAAATATTTTCGTAAACTGCGGGTGAGATGTAGTAATTTTACTACAATTCACTAAACACAATAGCCGAAATAATACAATAACCTAAATCGTCTACGGTCACACCAAATAATTGCCAAAAACAGGCAGTATATAGTATAAAAATTAAATGGTCTAAGCTCTTATGAAGGTGGTCGGGGATGGGGCCTTCCTGTGGCCAACGAATACCGCACAAACCTTATTCGTTGACAGCAGCTAAATTCATCCCCAATCTCTTTCATTTGAACAAACTACTGTATTATGATTAACCAGTCTGTTTTATGAATGGTGGACGATACGAATGGTAGGGTTAACACGATCAGCTGTTACCTCACGGGACACAACGTTTCTGCTACGCTCTGCTACCCTGATACCAGCTGCGGCACAGTAGGTCCGGAGTGGCTCCCCACACGCCACACGCCCTCTAGCGGCTCTCTCATTGGCTGACCGTCGACCGGACATCGCCAGTGGGAGTGAGGAGTCGTCGCTCTGTCCACCCTGACTGACCACTCCTCGCCGTCGTCATCGACTTCTCCGGAGATTTACAACAAATTTAGCGGGCTCCAAGTTTTTAAATTAGCGTTCGTGTAGAGCTGCATTATCTCAGAATGTTTGGCTAGTAATAATTAAGTTAGTGGCCCCTAGAAGGGGAAAAATTATCCGTTTATAAATTTTCAATTTACAACATGATTAAAACGGATGATTTATACTCAAATTATCGAGCACATTAATCTGTTTTAATAAAATTTGATAAAAACGTGAAAACCCGGGTTTTTTCGAACGAGTTCGCGAACCATCGATCAACTATGGAAACAGGGTTGGGAGTAAAATTAGGGTTTTTCCATTTTGTTTCTTCAAACCATTATATAAAATCGTAATTTATTTCTTGACCAATTTGTAGAGTTTAAAAATAAATTATTTAGTACAAGAAGCTACTTTGTCTAGTTAAAGGAGAAAAAAAACGTTAATTTAAAACTGTCATGTCATTAGACGATTATTTAAATGTTGCAGTTTGTTTGCTTATGGATAATTTTTGATCAAATTTGGCAAATGGCTTTACTACCAAGCTATTTATTTACATTTAATAAAAAAATACTCGTTCTCGCAAACTTAAATTCTCGTTAAAGCTTATGTTATTAAAATTAGGAATAAATCTGACAACTCTAAGTAATGCCACTTGATTTAACTTTAATTTAACCAACTTGATTTAAAATGCTACAAAATGGAAATCTATTTGGTCTGCAGGTGTGCTGCGGTGGGGAGATTTAAATTTAGTTTAGTTTAACAAAACTAAAAACTAACAACAATGAATTTTGAATTACAGACAATCATGACTCTAGTTAGGTTTTTATCACAGTTGGGTCCAATACTCGGGCTCAGGAATATATTTATTAGTAAGATTACCTACACAAAAGAGCGTCATCGTTACTCGCACGAATGTGTGTGTTCTGGGCTAAACAAGGTGCCGCAAGTTGCCACAGTTCGGCACTGAAGAATCAAACGCTACCAGGAGAACAGAACGAGGTAGCAATGATATCAACCATCACCCGCTCCTTGTGTATATTCTCCAGTCTCACTGTCACGTGCTAGATCAGGGGAGGGGAGAGTTCTCTTTCAGTTTGTATAATTATTTTTTATTTATCTATCAGATAAAATAGAAACCCCTCGGGACTCCGGTCCCCGCGGTGCCGGGTTCAAATCCTGCCGATCACCAATAGATATTATGTATAAGTGATAATGCTGCGAACACATCAAAGCGTGAAGTAATGTGGAAAACAATTCAAGTTAGAAGCTTGAGGGTAAAAAGTAGTCCAATTTACTGAAATTCCGGATTGAATAACATCACCTTGTGAAGAAAGGCAGAGCTAGCGAATGTTTGGTTTATAATAGATTGCATCGTATTTATAAACGCCAGGACTGCGTATCTTGCCATCCCAAAAGTGTGCCCTAGATTATCCCTTTTTTGCGATCCGACAGCCCTACATACTAACAATTATTTTGATTGACTGTAATGTGCTAACACATAGAAAATTTATCAGTGCAGGTAATATGTTACTGTAGCAAGGAGGAAACTTGTCACTTCAGGGAATTTGTCGACGCAGGAAATCCATTGCTAAAGGGAATTTATGGTTGCAGAGAAATAATTGTTTCAGGAAATTTGTCGTAGCAGGGAATTCTTACCGTAGCATGAAATTTGTCGTTGCAGGGAATTTCTCTTCGCAGGGAATTTAGTCGCCGGTGCAGACAGTTGGTAGCAGTGGCCGTCAGGTGGCGCGGCTGCAGTTCAAACTCGCGACCGTCGTGCCATTGCCATCTCGCGGTTCGCGGCGAAGTGTGCGAGTGCGCGTCCGTGTGTTTGTGTAGTGCGGTCGACAAGACGAGATGTTCATCTGACAAATCGTAGACATGTCATCCAACCACGCCGTCATGAACGACTCCAAAGAGAACAGAACAATCCCCGAGCTACCGGACTCACCAAAGTCTTCGAAAAAGATTCACGATTCACCGATCAAGACCGACTTCGTCACAAAATTAGCGGAATCGATCCAAACCCCTAAATTGACTCCGAGGAACACACAGAATTTGACTCAGTTGAAAATCGCTCCGGAGATGAAAAACGGGAAGATACCACCTCCTTCACCATCAGCGACCCCTAGGACTCCGAGGAACGTCCTGGGAAAACCGGAAGAACGACCTCTTCTGGGACCGTCACAGAAAATAGTCATAGTACCTCTGGGGAAAAGCGAGGGAAGAGCTCAAGTTCAAGTGACGGTGGGAAGTACTAGCAGTGACTCCAGCGACGGAAAAGGGACTCCCCCAAGGAAACGAGCGATGAGTTCGGGGAAAAGAAGACCAGACGTTATCAGACCAAGGGAACCTGGCGTGAGGATGTCACCGAGTCTAAAGTCTCTGAGAGGTCCTGCAGAGCTGGGGAAGATTCGGTGCAACGCCTCCTGGGCGAGCTTTACCTTCCCGGACCCTTCGTCGACCATGGGACGTCCCTTGAGTGACGTAGTGTCGGTCCGGTCACTGGCGTCCATCGGGATGGGGTCCACGGACGGGAAGAAACTGACGATCCGGAGGGTACCCACGTCACCCACGGAACTGCTCAATATTGTTGAACCTAAGAAGTGAGTAGAGTATTAATGATCTACTAGAATAAAAAGTGTCAGTGATTTGATTCAACACTCTTTCTTGACTCAGTAGGATTTCTCAGTTTTTCATAAACTATAGGCTATATTGTATTTCTTAAAATTTTTTCTGGGAGCGAGCTGGTCTAGTGGTAGAGTCTAGAGCGGTACTTCGATCTCGAGGTCCCGTGTTCAAATCCCGCAAATCACCAATATTTTAAGTGAAAGGCCGCAATCTTTTAAGTTAAGTCAAAAGTGTGGGAAAATTGTCATGCTAGAGCCTAGTTTGAAAACGTTTTTCTTGCATACGCGTTTCGACCATTAAGCAATCATCAGTTATGCATTATGTTTGTTTGTATCAGTAAGAAAAAAAGATTAACAAACGAAAACCCTATACTGGACCATTTAATCCGTGCTACGAATCATACATAAACATGAAATATGAAAATGTTCGTAATTGTTGTTACATAAAATGCATAATGTTTGGTATTTAGATCCTGGTAATTTATAGTCTGTATGATGGAACCTGTCTCCTGACCAGGTCTACCTGTTGACGGTCCATGCCAGTCCCAGACAGACGAAGGGCCAGGAGACAGGTCCCATCATACAGACTATTGAAAAAAATAAATCTTTGATAACTAATTCCATCTCTAATATTACCTCGATGTTTAAATTTTGATTTGTGAATTACTGTATGTTAATCTTACCTGTTCTCATGTCCATTGAGATATTTACGATCGTTTCGTTAAGCGCTACCTTTTCTCTTATCTATATCACCCCACAATCGATAAACAAATACTAAACTAGCACCTAACGTGTCATAACTAAAAACAAAAACAAAGTACTGGCAGTTCAACTGTCTGATTAAGCTAACAACACCAATGTCTCCATTTGCCAGTTTTACAGGGTGTGTCAAATTTTCAACCACGTTAGGTAACTCGAAACAATGAACTTTAACAGCAATCGCAGGTGTTAGACTCTATCGCGCGTCCGTGATATTATGTCACATTCGTACTTGAACGACGTTAATGTAAACAATATTATGAGCAAACCGTTACAAATCGCTATATTTCTCCATGTCGGAAAGTGTGTGGTAAATAACCATCAACCATAAAATCTTTTTGAATATTAAGAACAGTGTAAAGGTTGGCTGCCAAAGGTAATAGCTTAATACTGTAAAAGTGAATAAATTTACCAAATCTGATCAAAAATATATTTATGAACAAGCAAACTGCAACAGTAAACGTTTCCCCCATTATTATAACATAAGAAATTTAAGTTTTTTAAATTTTGTCCGTAACCATTACGCGTATAGCAACGGTTAAATTTACTAAAATAGTTCTTCTTATACGCTCTACAAAATGGTTTGGAAAATAATTGCAAAATTTTATGTTTGTGGGGGGGGGGATAGGGAAACCCTATTTTTACCCCCTTAAAACCCCGTTACCATAGTCCGATAATACTGGTTCGATAAATCGTTTAATTGTAGGTTTACAAGTTTGTACCAAAACATTCAATCAAAATCGGATGACTTTTACTCGAGTAACGTGCTAACGGACACACATACAATGAGTAGATTTGTGTTTTTGGCCTCGATGGGTATCAAAACGAAAAGTAAATTGTTCATTGGTCCGGGGTCTAGGTGTTAATGATACCTACAGTAAGCTTATGCCCTATATAATTATGAGAAATTCGATAAAACTTAAAAGGGTAAATATGTTAGATTGTAAAATTCTGTGAATGGCTATTTCTTCTTTGTTCTTTTCACGATTCGTAGTTCTTTTAAAATAAAATCGGCTAAAACTGATCCACATTAGGGAACGTCTTCTTCAGTACCTTAAGTCATTACTACGTTTTATTAAAATCAATAAACCAAACCAAATAAATCGGTATTTTTATACAGTATGTGTGGAGAGAGTTATACAAAAAGATTCTCCTCGCTTCGTGAACCTATACTTTCTTACATTATCAATATAGGCGGACCAACAGTATAAGGTGGGACCACCGGAATTATCAGGCTGCTAATTATTTTATCTTATCGTGAAAGGAACAAACAGTATACAGCATAATATTGTGTTGGTTGTGCAAGCTTAAACCTTGCATGTGCTGGAGAAGTTTTTGAGTTTATATCCCATTTTAAACTCTATATCATTTCTGTAATATTTGTAAATTTTAATGATAAAATCTTTCCCCTTTTCCTTCCTTTTAATTTTCGGAATTCAATTGGGGTAAATTTGAAGGATATATTACAAAAAATCGGTTGTTGTTCTGATAACATGCCTTAGCCATAAGCACATTTCAAACAAATTTATTGGATGTCATGATGATAGAACTTTGTTTAACATTATAATACAATTACCTCGATAATAAGTAGACTATCTCAAGGGGATTTCAAATAAGACTTGGTATCAAGGTTGACTTACTATCAAGGTTTGCAATAACATGTGAATAGGGATAATATATAATGAAGGATGTTGGGTAATATAAATGAGATTGTCTCCCCCCAGTAATAGAGGGTTACTTGTTATCGTGGGCCTTATTATCGAGGTTCCAATATACTTTATTTAACACAATAGTAACTTTCAAAAGTAAACAAGACAAATATTAATATTTAATTTTAAAATAATTTCAAAGAACACAGCGTGTTAAATAACAGCCTTTGGCCGTTTTTTGGTGTAACCTTTTTGAATCGCTGATATTTTTATTGACTTATCTGGACCCAAGTAAAACGTAACATTATTAATCGAAGGATCAATGTAGGATTTATAGGGTTTAGAATTAATTTCGCTCTTAAACTTTCCAAATGACCCAATCATAGCTACACGTAGCAAGATAGCATTTCAGGGCATTTGTGAGATTATTTTGTTTCGTTGGAGAATTTTAATTGCCTTTGAATGTCAACGAACTCAGATTCTTCTGCAACAACTGGTTTGATTCAGGTCAACCTATAAGTTTTTCGTCGTTCCAAAATTTCCAGAATATTTGTCGTCAGTAGCATATTGTAAGTATATTTTTCAATATTCAAATTACAATAAAAGTGGCTGTAGAAAATATGATACTTTGTTCGAACGTGTAAAGGCGTTGTTAGTTTGTTGTTTGGTGGTCGTCTGGATATTAGAAAGTGTTTGCGAATTGAAATTATTTTAGTAATGTATATAATACAAGTGTAAAATGAAAAGAACCGAGTTTTAAAGTTTTATATTAATCTGGATATGTTAAGACAGAAACTAACTGTAAAATTAAAACATGAACATTTGGCAATATTAGATGGCGTGCCATGTTAATAATACTACTTTTAATCGGAATTCGATTTTAGGTTGATAAACAATAACAAACACAATTACATAGGCTTAGTTATTTTCATGTTACATACTAAGGAATAGAATACTTGCCCAAATTATAATGCATACTTAGGTTACGTAAAAGTACAAGTTTATAATTTCTCTTGTTGCGGTTTGTATTCATAGAGGAATATATTTTAAGCGATAATGTAGTAGAATCGAAATCGGTAAGTTACCGAATACCATTTGCACGACAGATGTGCAAACTTCATAAGTAATTCCCTTACGTGCGATATGGTTATCTAATTTTACTGCCATATGTGGCTCTTCATATCTTAATCAGATATTTTAATTAAATCACGTTGTTTATTTATTTTATTCATCTATATATATGAGAGTACATTATTTGTGCGACAGTTAACTTGGCCGTCACCCCAGTTGATTGTCGTTTTAATGTAATAATAAATACGAAGGACCACTTTGTCGACAAGCCGTTTGTTTGGCGATCGTTTGGTATGACAGTCAATTGGCCTGACGACCATATTACTTGTAAATAACTGGTGAGCACCCATTATTTAAACATTACCATTTGAGATTAAACTGGTGATAACAAGTAATGTAATTCTTTTTACCAATAAGAACAATTGCTTCTTATTAGTTTTTTTTTTTCAAGCTTACTTTAAAGACTTTTGCTTGGTAGCCGATTATCCGTTTAAAACTTTACGTCTCTGAATTTTTGGAGGTGAAACGAAACACATTATTTTGATAACGTAGTTTTCTTTGAAATCAATAGACCTGACTAAACAATCTGCAGGTTACAGTCGACCAATCCACTTTCGCTAGCTCAGCACAATCATTAACCTCCACCTCGTAGGTATCTAAATTTGATTTGAAACACGTGATCCGGCTCAACATGAACGTGTATTGTTCTCATAATGAATTTCAGAATGAACGTGAAATTTTACGAGTCCATTCATAACAGCTCGTATCGCAGTTGTTTCAGCTGAGTTTACGTGTTACCGATCACGCATTTTCTGCAATCGCAACGTCATGTCAGAGATGGGAATTTGGCAGCTAATTTGCCTACGTGGGGATAACCTGTGGGACATTTTTAGTTGATTCCCCTACTAAGGGATAGCCTGTAGTACATTCAATCCCATTACCCTCCCTAGAGAGTCCTGTGGGACATTTTACTGTTTTTGCCGTACTCAGAGTGAGCCTTTGGGACTTTTCACGCCCATTTCCCTACACAGAGAGTCCCTGGTGAGACTTTTCACGATCATTTCCCTACACAGAGAGTCCCTGGTGGGAAATTTCACGATCATTTCCCTACACAGAGAGTCCCTGGTGAGACTTTTCACGATCATTTCCCTACACAGAGAGTCCCTGGTGGGAAATTTCACACTTATTTCCCTACACAGAGAGTCCCTGGTGAGACTTTTCACGATCATTTCCCTACACAGAGAGTCCCTGGTGGGAAATTTCACACTTATTTCCCTACACAGAGAGTCCCTGGTGAGACTTTTCACGATCATTTCCCTACACAGAGAGTCCCTGGTGAGACTTTTCACGATCATTTCCCTACACAGAGAGTCCCTGGTGGGAAATTTCACACTTATTTCCCTACACAGAGAGTCCCTGGTGAGATTTTTCACGATAATTTCCCTACACAGAGAGTCCCTGGTGGGAAATTTCACACTTATTTCCCTACACAAAGAT